GGATGATTCCACATGAGTTTCATCTTTCCTGGCCCAGTGGTTCTGGAGAAGAAAATTTTTAAAGATTTTTCCTATATATTCCTATGTAAAACTTGGGTCGGCCATTTTGGCCCCACCCTTGCCCCGGGGGTCATGATTTGAACAAACTTGAATCTACACTACCTGAGGATGCTTCCACATGAGTTTCATCTCTCCTGACCCAGCGGTTCTGGAGAAGAAGATTTTTTAAAAATGCCATTAGTTTTTAACAAATTCATGATTATCTCCCCTTGGAAAAGGGCGTGGCCCTTCATTTGAACAAACTTGAATCCCCTTCACCCAAGGATACTTTGTGCCAAGTTTGGTTGAAATTGGCCCAGTGGTTCTTGAGAAGAAGATGAAAATGTGAAAAGTTTACGACAATGACAACGACAACAACAACGACAACGACGACAGACAACGGACAAATTTTGATCAGAAAAGCTCACTTGAGCCTTCGGCTCAGGTGAGCTAAAAAGGTATGCACGATAGAATGTAATCGTTTACAAAGGTATAGATCGCACCAGCAAGTTTTTATCAAGTTTAATTATAACATCAGAATATATTATATGATGGTAAATATAATTTTGCTTAGCCGTCCGATTTTCATCGATAATGCTTAAGGGGGATGTACAAGCCATATTAAATCTAGTCTGGTGTAAAATAAGAAATACCAAGAATGCGCTTGATACACTTCTAAACTAGCCCAAAGTTACTCAAAGTGTTAATGCACTAATTACCTACTGTTAGAGACCAAAATTAGTAAATAATTAAGTTTATTTTGTTTTAATTAGGAGGAAATTAATCATGTTAGAACTGCGCAGCTACAGCATTCACGAGATGAAAAATGCATTGAAAATGGTGTTAGTTTGATTCATTGATAATATGGCTACAACCATTTGTTTCGCTTTTTTCTTGTCATTATCCATAATTCTTGAAAAATTGATTTTTCATATGGGTGTCTTCCTGAGGCCATGTGTTTATTTCGTCCGCCATTCCTCTGTCACACAGAGTTCGAATAACATTGATTTTAGAATAAATGCGACCATAATAACATCAAGACAAGAAATTGCTGAGTAATAATCATTATGTTATATTACTTACTACTGTTATTTGTTGCATCGCATCGTCTGAATAATGAAAAAACGCGATTTTAACCCCACTCCAGCAAATCGGGAAAAACTGTTCTGTTTACAGCTCGAATTTCCTTGCTAATATTATTCCACTGAGCACGTGCTTGGCATGTGCATATATCTGCTGTGGATAGATGCGTTTATGACCATGATTATATTCAATTTTTCATGGAACAAGTCTTGATAATTTGTTGATTTCTTTAAAACTCAATAAAAAAGATAAAAAATGTCCTAAACATATGTGTTTACGTCGGGTCTTTTTTCTGTGGCGATAGAAGTTATTTTCAAATGGGGCACTGCAAGGAGGATGCTTAGCATTTAATTTGGAAAAGTTAAACTATATGCAGTGCATGAAAAACAAATTGTAATTACATGTCTTACATTCGAAAAGTTGGTACATTGTCTATTTTGTTCAGCTGTTAGACAGAAAAAATAGGCAGTTATAAGATTTCCTTAAGGCACCTCACATAAATAGCTAGATTGTTTGCAATGACCCACACATTGTATGGAGTAATGTTTGGACATAAAAAAAAATCATGTCTCATTATGTTGACAACGTTGTAAGCTCTCGCCCATTGAACACACGAAGCTGTTCCTTTGAAATTTAGAAGCAAGAACAATGTTTGCAAAGAAAAGTCCATTGCATATGCTATGTCTATCATCGCAAAAAAACAGTGAGAGGCTATAGCCCCCCTCCCCCCGGAAATCCTATGTTTGTTTTTCAAAATAATGCCAAAGATTCAAAAAGTTACATTACTTACAAAAAGTTTCATTACTACTTATGTGATGGAACATGTACTAGCCTTATAAGACCATTTGTTTTAAAAATATTTGGTTGCCCTCTCTCCCGATCTACTGCCTAGAAATGGCCCGACTCAATTTTTTTTCATCCTATTACACGATATTTTTTTTCTTCCGTCAACAAATATGTTTAAATTTTAAGGAAGTTTTTTCTCACCTATAAATACCGACCCAATAATATTTCCCTGAGTTGGAAGGACCACCAAAAGTCATTTTAAAGATGGTATAAAATATTTAATTATGTTGATTTTTTTTTTCTTTACTCTGTAAAATTGTAATTTTGACGAAATTTGCCAATAGAAAAAAAGTTTTTTTTCCCCATTAACCCACGCTGAATGATTTCATTCCTTTTCCAATGTTGCTCCGCTGTAATGAAATTCACAGGTGCTTGAGTAATGGAACCCCCCCCCCCCCCCCCATATACTAGTAGACCCCCGGGCCTGTTCAACTTTTTTCACATAAATTATATATGGATGACAAATTTGTGATATAACATATCTTATCAATTCAGAAAATTTGCTTAAACTTCCATTTTATTAAAATATCTACCCTCTCTCTATATATATATAAATTAACATATTAACCATCTGCCTTCCTTCACTAAAACGATCTATCCAATCATTGATTGAATTTTTAGGAAGTCATTTGTCTTAATATATTGTGAACAAATTCTCATACGCTACTTCAAAGGCATTTTTAAGATATACCATAAATATTTTAGTCGTTTGTTCCACTCTGTTCCGAGTTCCACTGAGACAACCATTTTTCGTCACAAGTAGTTGCATAATGACGTCATATTCACATTGTGAGCAAAACTTTATTCAGCATATGCTATTTACAGAACTTGTGTTTGGCTATGTGTGCACCAAATTTGTTTCTAATCTGATTTTTTTTATAGATACACATGTATCGAGATAGTTCGCGAACTTTTTGATCACCCCTCGTACTAGTAGATACTAAAACAAGGTCATTCATATCGATTTTATGTGTTTAATTTCTTTGTGTTTCAATGGTGATAATAAAACTTTTGATAGATATTATAAGTTATCTGTGACAAACTTACAAACTCTTAATTTTTAACTTTGATGGTGCTCATTTTTCCTCACCTGGAATCAAAGAGTTTAAGATTTTTTTTTATATCAATACGTACACTATTTAACAACTGTACAATAATAATACTAAATAATAAATAACTTCAAGAAACACTATAACACATTTCCTCTTTTAAAAGTGTTCATATTATTTGAAACTGTAATTCTCTTCTACATTTAAAGATTGTTATGTCCCTCCATATTAAGAAGAGGTCTGGAAAACAAAATTCTGTACTAAAAATAGACCACGTGCTGCTATCCATGAACTACTTTCATGGTTCTTTTCACTCTTTTTGAAAACAACGATACATTGTTTTGAACTTGAAATTATCATTTAAAAGTGCAAAATTTAGACATTTTCTCAACAAATGGTTGTAGAGAGAACATTAATGCACAGTTTGCGTATTTTTTTGGATTTTTTAAGGATTTGCTGAATTCTGTAGCTGCGCAGTTCTAAGGAGCATATCAAAAGCATTTTTCTGCAAAAGTATAGATTATATATGCACAACATGCATTCAGTTATGCATATTTATTGTATCTTTATCATAAAGACTTAAAATTGGATCAAAATATAATGTATTTTAGCCATTAGAAGAAATGTTTACATTTCGTTCTCACTGCACTAAAGGTGGCCGTACATCCCCCTTAAATTCCATGTGTATAGATCAACTCACACAAGTGTTTATCGTATGGAGTATACACATATAGTTTTGCATTATCACGGGTTTCATGAGCGCCGAATTCTTAGCTACGCAGACTTTAAATGGGCATAAGGAAAGGCGTATAACGTGGAGAAAAGAGAATCCTCTAATTATACATGAATGCGTTTTATCCCAATATCTTACCTTGCATGTCAGAAACTGCATGGACTACTAGTATTCTGTAATAAACACTCAAAAATAATAAAGACTGTTATCTTTTTGATAAGATTTTTATGTCAGGCTCTAAAAACTGAAAATTTACCGTATTTATATCAATTTTTTAACGTAAGTAAACTTTTGGGATTGCTAACTCCTAGAGACATTTTTTTTATCCCACTTAAAACGTATTCCAAACTGTCAAGTCGTGTTTATTCACGGTAGAATTGTCATAAATATTATATTATTCCCAAATGCGCAAAAAGTTTGTTCTAAAAAAATCTTTTTAGCAAAACACTTAAAAACCACGTGTTTTATTTATTCTCTCATGGGTTTGTCTAAATGCTGTTATCTGATTGGTCAGAAGGACCAGCGCCTTGTTTATTCTGTGTATTAATAGCAATTCACGGTTATCGTTCTTGACTTCCTTATTTAGAAATCGTCCAGACCTGTTTATAGGCCTCTTTAGCTCCTGGCCCATTTCTTGGCGAAATTTACATTCCGATAGAATGATAAAAAAAATCAACTAAACTAACTTTCAAAGAGTTTTTACAGGGATACTCAGTAGCAAAATAGAAATGGAAATATAATCTGTGAATAATCAAATATAATTCCTTGCATATTGATAATATTTTATTTAGCTATTTGAAATGTGTCTTTTTTCCCGATAGCAAAACTGAAAAAAAAGAAAATTAGAATTTATAATGCTGTGTATTGAAATCTTCGCATCAACACCCCCTAATTCTACAAATATTTTGCCCTAGGGTCCGCTTTTAACACCAAGCAAAAGTTTACTGCATGTGAAAGGGTCTAATTTCAGCAAAGATTACTCATTTATCAGTATGATTTAACGATTTTACACGACCATTCTATGTTTAGCGCGTATTAGTAACGTCATAGTTAAAAATTACGTCATTGTTGTGCTTGTAGAATATTTAGTGTGTATCTTCCTTACTTCAATGCATAACATCAAAAAACGAAACAAAGAGGATTAAAATGATATAATCATATCATTTGCGGCCAATTCCTGTTAATACCGTACTTTGTTCTTTCCACTAGAACCAATTATTTTAAACATTTCATTTTGATTAAATCATTACCTGTATTCTGTCACACTTTCCACTGAAACAAAATCTTCAAGTAGAAAAGACATCTTCCTCTGAAAAGAGATAAGATTGTTTTATTCACATTGACCTTTAATATATTTTTCCACTGAAGCAATGTAATTCTTGTTCTGCTTCCTTGTATAAAATTGAGAGACGTGTGTAGATCTAGATTATACGGAAGCGTATTGCTGCCAGTTGAAAAAAAAATATTTTAAGTCGTACGTACGACATAATAAGTCGAACGTACGACATAGTAAGTCGTACGTACGAGATACTAAGTCGTACGAACGAGATACTATGTCGTACGTACGACATAATAAGTCGTACGTACGACATAATAAGTCGTACCAACGACATAATAAGTCGTACCAACGACATAATATTAAGTCGTACGTACGACATAATAAGTCGTACGAACGAGATAATAAGTCGTACGTACGACATAATAAGTCGTACGAACGAGATAATAAGTCGTACGTACGACATAATAAGTCGTACGTACGAGATATTAAGTCGTACAAACGACATAATAAGTCGTACGTACGAGATACTAAGTCGTACGAACGAGATACTATGTCGTACGTACGAGATACTAAGTCATATGAACGAGATACTAAGTCGTACGTACGACATAATATGTCGTACGTACGACATAATTAGTCGTACGTACGACATAATAAGTCGTACGTACGAGATAATATGTCGTACGAACGACATAATAAGTCGTATGTACGAGATACTTAGTCGTACGAACGAGATAATATGTCGTACGTACGACATAATAAGTCGTACGTACGAGATACTAAGTCGTACGAACGAGATAACATTAACCCCTTGTAGTCATGTTTACAAGATAATATGTTACTTATACGATATAATATGTAGTTATTCGGATTTCTTGATAATATCATGAATAGACGGGCTTGCCAATAGTTGTGCTTTTGGTTGCTAAAACGGAAGAACCTAAATTTTATATACATATGTAACTTCAATCTATTTAACAGTTTTAAAAAAAGTCAATTTTACATGTTGACTTGTTGTTGTCCAATCCAAAGCAGCCCCCGTCCACCCCTCAAAGAATCTGATATTTTGATAGGTTTTTATCGAAGGAAGATTATAATAAAGCTTTTCAGTGGGTACCGATGTGGGTGAAATGTACAAAAATCCCGAAAATGAAAAATATTTCTTTAATTATATTGTTTATTTTATTATTTATGTTTAATGTCCATTTAATTGGAAAAGCTCGGATGTTTTGAGATTGGTATTCAACATTTTTACAGTGGCCTGGTTCGAATCACCTGGTGGCACACGTTTACTTCTATAAAAACAGGCTTATGTATTTCACTTCATTTTCCTCTATAAATGATTTCTTTTTCTTTGGAGATAAACGACATTTATGAGAATGTAGACGAGAAATATTATTCTCTAAAAATTATTCCACAGTGTAAGCATTCATTGTTTGAGGACAAGAATTATTCATTCTTCCTTATGATGAAGGAGTCACACACAAGCGCACCCCCCCCCCAAAAAAAAAAACCCACAAAACATGAATGACATGCGGTTGATCCTATAGTATACACCCCCCCCCCCCAAAAAAAAAAAATTAAAAAAAAAGATAAAATGCGTGAATAATCTAATACATTTAATCTCTGAAAAGTTTCCAAACGAATCAATTAAAATGAAATCGCAGAAGTAGTATCTTCTAGATTTGATTCTAAGAAGATTATTTATCTATTAAACAAAGATAACATTTTTCTAACAGGTTTTACGTATATGATCAGCTTGAAGACCTGGGGCCGTAACAGAAAGCATGCTATTTAGATTTTAAATGACTTAAAGCAACGTTGCCACCCTAAAATTAATATATATACATGAAATGTGTCTTTATCAAATAAATAAGACGTAAACTATAATTTGATAAGAAAAAATTGATTTATATCAGCTGTTAAATTTGATCATTTTCATATGGAGCTCTTCTTTTAAAGGAGAGCAATATTGTCTAAAATGGCCACGACACCCCCCCCCCCCCCCCCCACCCCCCCCCCCCCCCCCCCCCCGCCCTCTTAAGCAGGGTTGGCTAACAAAGTGTTAACCCAGAAAAATAAAGAAATTAAAATTTCTTGCTGTGACGTAGCATCGTTTTTGAAAGGGGAAAGGGGGCAGCTAGAGAAAAAATCTTACCTGAAAAAGTTGACAAGTTGACAATTGCCCTAACAAGAAAACATTATTTTGGGGAGGGGGGCTTTTTAAAGTTCCAACTTCTTTCAGTACAATTTCCCCCATATAATACTACATGTACATTCTCCTTATTTCACTATACTATATCACAAAGCGGGGGGGGGGGGGGACAACCGGCCTTTCAATGCAAATTTTAAACAATAATATTGCTACGTGCCTGTTTTAGTAATATGCATATCTATACATTGTGTCCTAATTATCTACAAATTTTCATGAAATCTTATGCAGCTGTTTAAGAATAATTATGCTTATAAAAAAATAAGATATAAAAAAAGAACTGACGGATTAACTGACGTACCAAAGATATTATACCACTCGCAACTTGTTGTTATAAAAGCAATCTGATTAAAATCAGATTTTTCGATCCGCTTACATAGATCGCTACACGTGTAGCGATCTATGTGAGCGGATCAAAGGATCTGATTTTAATCAGACTGTTATAAAAGTAATTTAAAATTTCTCTCTACATTTAAACACTCTTTCAGACTTTCCAGACGATATCCTAAATAGCCATTTACTCTTGATAATACCATTTTTAGCCCGAAATTGATAAGGCTTTGAAAATAGGCAGGGTCAGGGGTAAAATCTTTATATTATATTGAATAAAATCTTTATCCTTCCTAGTCTATAATTTATGAATTGTAATAAACTAACAGTTTTGCAGATAAATATGAAATAAACTATGTAAAATCCCAAGTTCGAATCGGGCAGAGGTGATAAACTTGCTTGATTTGAATTTTCTGCAATCCAACAGACAATTCAAATCAAGCGAGTTTATCGCCTGTAGAAACGAATATTAAGGGCTAGAAGTTTGATAAAATAAACAGATTGATTAAAAAAATGTGTTTAGAATAAGAACACAGAGAACACCAATACTGGAAAGTGTGAAAATTCTTCCCAAAAGTGAGTTCAAATCTTGCGCCGTAGATTGCACATTATTTGCATTTAATATATGATCCAAATCTAAAATACAAAACCATGAAGCTACAGTTCTCCAGCTACGTTCTGAGTATCTCGTACGTACGACATAAATTATCTCGTTCGTACAACTTATTATGTCGTACGTACGACTTAGTATCTCGTTCGTATGACTTATTATGTCGTACGTACGACTTAGTATCTCGTTCGTACGACTTATTATGTCGTACGTACGACTTAGTATGTCGTACGTACGACTTAGTATCTCGTTCGTACGACTTATTATGTCGTACGTACGACTTACTATGTCGTACGTACGACATAGTATCTCGTTTGTACGACTTATTATATCGTACGTACGACTTAGTATCTCGTTCATACGACTTATTATGTCGTACGTACGACTTATTATGTCGTACGTACGACTTAGTATCTCGTTCGTACGACTTATTATGTCGTACGTACAACTTATTATGTCGTACGTACGACATAGTAGCTCGTTTGTACGACTTATTATGTCGTACGTACGACTTAGTATCTCGTACGAACGTGATACTAAGTCGTACTTACTTAGTATCTCGTTCGTACGACTTATTATGTCGTACGTACGACTTAGTATCTCGTTCGTACGACTTACTATGTCGTACGTGAGTCATTATCAAAATTCGCCAATATTTTGGTCACAAGCTGATAAAAAAGTATATGAGGTAAAAATTATATAAATTTTCACATCACTATTTAGAATACATTATTCTGTAGTTGGCAGAATATTAATTCTATAACTGTGTGATATATTTAAAGAAAAAACGCATTGATAATAGCTCAAATAAGCACATTTTGTGATGTCCTACACTCCATTCCATTGAATTAACAAGTGTTTATGGCCAAATGTTGTTCATTTTCTTTTCATTTTTTTCCTTGTATGCCATAAACTATTCATAATAAATGCCATAAAAACACTAAAATTGTCTTACATTACCTCATCTTGTAAATATAAAGACTAAAATGTGTGTCCCACGAGTTTTTGTCTCTCCTGTTACGCCAATGAAAATCCAGAAAATAGAAATATTTAGAATGAACTTTTCTGGGTTCCATACTTACCATTAGCCTTAGTTTTATTTGCATGATACTAGGTTGTTAATGTAATTTATTTAAATTTGATAAGTTTGAATAAAATGTCCAAAATATAACTATGATTTACACAGTAGAAAAAAATGACGTCCGTACTGTTACATTGAAATAAAGCTTTAACAATGGAGTGAAACAATTCTAACTTCTTTTACAAAATAACTGAAACATTTTGTTTCAAACCTACTGCATCATCAGCTTTTATGGTAAGCAAAAGGAAAATAAATTACCAAATATGGAGCAAATGTCTACCCTGTTATATGTCCATCCTGTAACGTGTTAATTTGTAACAGTAAAGACAATTTTTGTAACAGGAAAGACTAACATTACATAAAATGTGGATCATCTATCTCATCATTAACCAAGAAATTTATTGCATGATTTTTATTAATATTGAAGTATGTAACACAAATACACCTTGAGTAAGGATTCATTGTTTGTAATTGTTAGTTGAAACATAAAAAGTGATTTTGTAACAGGAAAGACATAACATATTGTAACAGTACGGAAAAATTTTGCTTAAATCAGAAAAAACTTGGACTTTTATTAATTTGTCAGATTTAATATTATTTTCATTTTATTATTTTGTAGTATTCATTCCATTTTCTGTTCTTTTTTCAACTATGAAAAGATAATTCTTGATATTAAAGGACTTCTAAATATAATTCTGTAACAGGAAAGACGGGTATTGCTATAAAATAAACAATTTTCGAGAACTCTTTTCTTATAAGCACAGTATAATTGTTGAATAGTCTTTCATGGAAAAAAA